AATATATATATAAAATATTACTAATTTTTATTTATTTCTCTTCTCATCCTCCAACTACTTCGGGTTATATCACAGATATACAGCTTGATATATACTGATAAATATCAACTGCTTGATATAAAATATGTATATGTAACAACATACAGTATGCCCTCAGTAAATGTTTATTAGTAATAAGAAATGCAATTAATTTTTTAAAAACTAGATTACTGCTTTATTATAAAAGGATACAACTCAGAAATAGCCAGAGGGAAGAGATGCATAGGGCGAGGTATGGGGAAAAGACATGGAGTTTCCATGCTCTCCCTGAGCCTGATACCCTCCCCAAATCTCTACATGTTCACCAACCCAGAAGCTCCAATTTTACTCTTTTTTTGACAGCTCAATGGAGAAATTTTAACAACCGGCAGAGTTTATTTTTTAAATTCATATTATTAGTTTATATTTAAGGTTATATTACATAAACTTCTCTTTTATTCATTACCAGGACAACTGTAGATCTGGGTTTAGTAGCTCAGAAAAACACTCGAAAATTTTAAGTTCTATCTCAACTGTATTTCCTACTCTCCATTTCTACTGTTAATATTTTAGCTCAAGCCTTATCACCTTTCATTTGGATGTTTCTCCAACTGAACTGTCAACAATCTATGTTCTTTCCAATATTATTCCCACATCACCACCAGCTCCCTTTCTAAAACTCAAATCTGACCCCACACACCACACATAACACTGTAAGAGCTCCCTATTATCCACAGAATTAAACCCCAAACTTCCTACCATCATAAAGACACTGTCCTCCATTACAGTATACCTCACACCCAGCACAGCTGTGTTGAACAGAAGCTGGATAAATCAACTGAGACAGAGAGACCACTCTGGAGGTAGAGAGAAGACCATTCTGTGCTTAAGTCCTGGGAACCAGTGTTTGAAACAGCAGATATTATGTGAAATAAAGCTTTGCCTCCATTTTCCATTTAACTGGACTGACTCTGGGAAAGCTGATTTAGATGGTGGCACCACTCTTGCTTTAAAGGTTATTAAAAGTTTTCCAGCTAGAAAAACCCAAAAAAAACAAAAGGAGGAGCACAGATCCCGGCTCAACACATAAACAGTCAACCTACCCTTAGCTACAACCATCTGAACTCAAGAAAACATGGCAACAACGATTTCTCCATTTTAAAGTTTACCTCAGAAGTGCTAAAGCCACATGCTCAGTTCAACTGACTTATGAGTTACTATGTCTGAGGCTGCAGAGAAAATGTTCATGTCTTTTCCATAGGAATAGAGAGCAGGCAAGTGCTGAAGTAAGGACTGGGGAATGGGGGTCGGGGCGGGGGGGAGAACTAAGCAGAAAAATCCCAAGATATATAGATATAAATCTTCCAATGAAAGTTCAAACTTTTAACAATTTCCCTCCCAACTAACCTATAAAAAGCTAGGTCAGTTTATGTTCTGGAAAAGTCATGTTTAGAATAATACATCATACACTGTACAGATGAATGCTAACTAATCAAGAAGTCTGCTAAAGCTAAAATTGTAATGCCTGGGGCTTCCCTGGTGGCGCAGTGGTTGAGAGTCCGCCTGCCGATGCAGGGGACACGGGTTCGTGCCCCGTTCTGGGGGGATCCCGCGTGCCGCGGAGCGGCTGGGCCCGTGGGCCATGGCCACTGGGCCTGCGCATCCGGGGCCTGTGCTCCGCAACGGGAGAGGCCACAACAGTGAGAGGCCCGCGTACTGAAAAAAAAGAAAAAAAAAAAAAAAAAATTGTAATGCCTGTTCTATGTTCCTTTCAAATGTATTAAATTCTGATTTCAAAGAGTAGTAAGGAGTAAATGTAGAACACAATTCCAAATCTATAATCTTTGAAAGTAATGAAAACCCAAAGGAATACTAAATTTTTTAAAATGTAAGAGTGACTAACTTTACAAGATTCTGAAATGCAAAACCATCTGTCCATTGTTCAGTAAATGAAGCACCATGTCTAACGGTCGTGAAATGCCCAAGGCGTAATCTGTCTTGCATACTCTTCTCTCTGCTTGACAGTTTTTCTTGTGTACTCTGAAAAAAGGAGGAAAAATCATCATTCAATTTTATTAATTTAAATTTTAAAAGCATACAAAGTAAAAGGGGCTAGTGAAAGGAGAGGGAAAATTTATTGAACTTTTAACTTACCTTTTCGATAAGCAGCTTCTTGCTCATTGATATGCACTTATTTAATCGTTCTTTGTATTTTTCAAGTAATTTTTGTTGTTCATCTATCTGCCGTCTGAGATCACAATTAGCCTACAACATAAGTAGATGATGAAAAAGGTCTACAATTTGTGTATATGCGACATTTAAGAATATTTATACATTTTGAACAAATTTGATAAAGGGATTAATAAGATTAAGTATTTGAATATGATTCTAAAACTTTTATTAAAACATCTACTTACCATGGGAATAATACTGTTATATGCTGCTTAATTGTGTAGTGGAAAAGTACATGGAATTTGTATCCATACTCCATGGGTTCAAATCCACACTCTAGGATATATAATCTGGGCTAAGTCAAACAAGTTATCTGAACCTTAGCTCAGTTTTCTTATTTCTAAAACAGAGCAACATCATTCTATCTCATTTAATTAAAAATAACTGAAATATAGTAATACAAAGCGTCTAACACTTAAAAATGAATGTGAGTTCTCTTCCATCTTTTGTAACTAATAAAACTTTTTTCTCCATTAAACTTGTGGAAGACACTGCAGATGCCCATCCAACAGCTAACTATTCTCACCATCTTTCTTGGCCATATGAATACAAATTTTGTTAACTTTGTAGGCAGCCATACGCTCAGGCAAGGGTCTTCTCTCTAAACTCAGAAGATGAGTCTGATTAGTCTAGTACAGTCAGTCACCAGGGAACAACCTGGAGAGCTTGTTGGAACACAGATTACTGGAACCCATTCCCAGTTTCTGAATTAGTAGCTCTAGAGTAGGCTCTAAAGGTTTATTTCTAATTTCCCTAGTAATGTTGATGCTTCTGGTCTGGGGATCATTCTTTGAAAACCATAGGTCTAGGCCAATCATGGTGGAAGCCAAAAGACAGCGACATAATACATCAAAAATGCTGGGAGAAAATACTGCTGCCAACCTAAAAGTATGTATCTAATAAAATTGTTTTCCAAGGAAAAGGGTAAAAAAAGATACTTTCAGAGGAACATAAATGGAATTTAGCATCAGACCCTTATCATTAGGTGCAATTCAAACAGAACCCCAACAAATTGTTTATGTGTGTGAAAACTGAAAAACTGACTCTAACACTTCTCTAAGACAGCAAAGGGCCAAAAATAACCAAAAAGGAGATGGTACTTGTTCAACCACACATCAAGGTTTAATATAAACCTAGAGTCATTATAATCACCCGAATCTTTCCTTCTTCCGTAGTAATGGAAAACCAACATTTTATTCTGGATTGATATATGTCTAGCTAAAAGACTGTATTTCCCAGCTTCCCTTGCAGCTAACAATGGTCAGTGAAATGTAAGCAGAAGTTGTTTAGTGGAATACCCAAGAAGGCTGCACACAGAATTGCTGCATTTTTTATTTCCTTCCTCTTCCTGTTTTCTGCTTAAGAACACAGATATCATAACTGTGACTCTAATAAATATTTTGTACCTTGATATGATCTTCAAGATGAAGGCCATGTACTAAGGGTGAAAGAGCAGAAAAACTGCTATATGACACTGTGAAGCCATCACACCTGGGCTGCCCCCTTCTGCTCTTCTCTCAAAAAATAATATTGTGTCTCATTTAAAGTACTGCTGTTTATAGAAACCTGTCCGGACACCTACAGCCTGAGCAGCTCAGTTGTTTCTGCTTGATAGCAAGGCTCTGCCTGGCCGGAAATAAAGCATAGCCAGTTAAATGGCATTTCCACAAAACCTACTACCTTCCATTCAAAGGCCTGTGGCCCCTTATGCTTTGTCCAGGGGGATAACAGCTCAACCACACATCGCTGTCTGGACAGATGAACAGGCTCCAGGCCCTCCTCAGTCACATCTGGGATGAATGGTCAGTGTGGCAGTAGCAGCTGCAATTGCAGTGCCCCACCCAGCCTCCCTCACTAGCCCAGGGGCCAGGGAAAGACTGCGCCTCCACCCTTCTCCTCACAGAGGTGAGCAGCATGCAGAGAAAAGGAAAGCCTATCTCGGGTGTGTTAGTGAGGGGCACTGTGTTCCATGGGTTATCCCAGTGCCATTTCCTCCTGGCCTGCTATGGAAGGGCCCACCTCCATCCCCAACTGGATTTGGTTTTGGGCAGGTGACTAAGTGGGCAGGAGACTCTGTACCCTCATGCTCTGACTTGGAGCCCCCCTTTCCTGTTCTACTCTCAAAAAATAATATTGTATATCATTTAAAGTACTGTTGTTTATGTTCTCTGTTACTAACAGCCAAAGACAACTGCTAAATGATAAAAAGATGCTGTTGTACCAGTACAGGAATATACAAATAGAATATGGAACTTAACACAGGACACAGAAATAGATCCACTTGTATATGAAAACGAGATTGCATGATGGGGCTGGCAGTAAAAAGTGGACTTTTAATTCTGTGGTCTGGACAACTGGTTCTCTACATAGAAAGAAATTAAAATGAAACCTTACTTCATGCTATACCCCAAAATAAATCCCAGTGAGAACTTGTACTGAAAAAGCAGACTATAAAACTTTTAAAAGAAAATATAGAAGAACATCTTTATGATATTAGGGATAAAAACCACAAATTATTTTGGTATACTTTTGATAATAATTTGGTACAAACTATAAATAAAAAGATATGTTTAATCATATAAATTTTAAATGATCTAATCATCAAAAGACAGTACAAAGAAATAAAAAGATAATTCACACACTGGGAGAAAAATCAACATATATGGCCAACAAAAAACTGATATCAATTTAAAAAACAACAGGAACCCATTAAGAAAAATGAACAAAAAAAATGATCATTTACTTCACGGAAGAAATACAAATAGTTAATAAATATTTTTAAAGATGCTCAAAGGGGCTTCCCTGGTGGCGCAGTGCTTGAGAGTCCGCCTGCCGTTGCAGGAGAC